CACTCACTCACTCACACACACACACACACACACACACACACTTACTCACACTTACTCACACACACACACACTCACTCACTCACATTTAAGGTTACGTGTGGGTAAAGCAGCTTATAATACTTGAGCTAATCTATTCGGATTTCTTCAGTTTCTCATGAGTTTTTCCTCTCTCTCTGTAGGTAATCACTCCGTGTCGTCGGCTGGTTCTGTGTGCGGAAAACAGGAAAGAAATGGAGGAGTGGATCGCAGCGCTGAAGAGTGTTCAGAACAGAGAACACTTTGAGGTGAGTTTCTCCATCTGACTGGACGTTTTCACAGTATGTTCAGGGACGAGTTATTCTGAAATGTATTACACCACATTCTTTACAAGCGGTTGTACTGTTAATACTAATTATTTCACACACAAAATGAATCAGAATGCAGTTTAATTTCTAGTTTGATTGCGAGCAGTGACTCAAAACTACCATCCGTCTTTTTTGTGCTGTTTAGTGACAGGTAATAGGACAGATTACACCGCAATAAACCGCTGTCGAAAAAATTAATAGTTGTAAGGAAAACAATATAAAAACTGTAGAAAATGTGTATAGAATGAGTGATTCGATTTTTCTATCCGTCCAAAATTATTGTATGCACAGTAACTATTAACATTTGGTTTGCCAAAACTTTAATTTGAATAATACACATTACCGTTCATCTCTGTTCCAGTGTTATTTTGGTATTATTATATATTCTTATAGTTGTTATTCATATTTTGAATTGGCTTTTATTTTTGTTTAATTTTAGTTTAAGTTTTTATTAATTTTGTTGCATGCTTTTGTTTGTTTTTAATGATCATTATTTTATTTATTTTTTTAAAGGTTTAATTTATTTTTTTTTCAGTTAGTAATTTTAGTTTTTTTCAGTTAGTAATTTTAGTGCTTCATTTAAAACATATTTCAGTTAGTTGTCAGTTAGTTCAGTTTAAGTTTTCAATCTAATATTTATATTTTATTTTATTTCAGCTTTATTTTGATTAACTAACATAACTTACACTAGTACCATTCAAATGTTTGGGTTCGGTTAGATTTTGTTAGTGTTTTTAAAAGTAGTCTCTTCTGCTCATCAAGGCTGCATTTATTCGATCATCAATACTGTAAGAATTGTGAAATATTATTACAATTTAAAAGAACTGTTTTCTATGTGAATGTATGATATAATGTAATTTATTCCTGTGATCAAAGCTGTATTTTCAGCATAATTACTCCAGTCTTCAGTGTCACATGATCCTTCGGAAATCATACTAATATGCTGACATGCTGCTCAAGAAACATTTCTGATTATTAACAATGTTGAAAACAGTTCATAGTTTTGTGGAAACCAATGCAATGCTTGTGTCTCTGCTGTAGTCCACTCAGTTCAGTATGGATCATTTCTCTGGGATGCATAACTGGTACGCCTGTTCTCACGCTCGCCCCACGTACTGTAACGTCTGTCGGGAGGCTCTGTCTGGAGTCACGTCTCACGGACTGTCCTGCGAAGGTCTGTCGCTCTTCATGAGGCTTTCTGGTTTGATATGCACTAATTAGATGTTCTTGTTTAGGCTGATATGTATTGTATGATTTGAATGTGTTAACGGGACTGAAAGCTCTGTTTGTCACACAGTGTGTAAGTTCAAGGCTCACAAGCGTTGTGCGGTCAGAGCCACTAATAACTGCAAATGGACGACACTGGCCTCTATCGGCAAAGACATACTGGAGGATGAGGATGGGGTGAGTGCTATTCGTGCAAAAACAAATCCAGCTCTGTTCCAGTGTTGTGTTAGAACTATTTATATGCTATTATAGTTTTATTAGTATTTTGAATTATATATATATATTTGTATTAATTGTATGTCCTTTTGTTTATGTTTAGTACTTTTTTATATTACTATTTAGATTTAATTTATTTGTATTTGTCTTCAGTTAGTAATTTTAGTTCTTAGAGGCAAGGCAACAATTTTTGTTTAGTTTTCAAACTAATATTTTATTTTATTATTTAATTTTATTTCAGCTTTATATTAATTAACAAAAATGTCTTTAATAGTTTTCATTTTAGTTATTATTATTATTTTAATTATTTAGGTTTAATTTATTTTTATTTCAGTTTTAGCTTTAGATTTTATTTATTTCCAGTCATTTTAATGCTTCAACTTTAGTTACCATATTTTATTAATATATTCTATACTTTATATTTTGGTTTTTATTACATTTTAATGTATTTTTATATTATTATATTATCACATTATGTTTTTTTAATGTTACTATTTAGGTTTAATTTTCTGTTTTTATTTTAGATTTAGTTTTTGTTTATTTCCAGTTAGTCATTTCATGCTTGAACTTGTTTTATTATTTTGTTTTATTTCAGCAACATTTCTGATTTCCAATTTTCATCTAATATTTTATTTTATAATATTTTAAATATAGTTTTAGTTATTGATAATAACCATGATTTGTTCCAAAACCAAAAGTTAGGCTAAATTATTGTTACTTTTTTTTTTTTTTTCTGCCAAAAAGACAGGATTACATGCATTGCAACAACATTACTGACTTCATTTAGTCTAATTCAAATTTAGAATTTAAATTTTAAAATTGTTCCTGTGGCTCAGTGGTAGAGCATTGCCTTAGCAGCGCAAAAGGTCATGGGTTCAGTTCCCAGGGAACACACATACTGGTAAAAAAAAATGTATAGCCTGAATGTACTGTAAGTCACAAGTGTCTGCTAAATGCATATATGTAAATGTAAAATGCTATGTATTTTTATGCCTATTTTAGAGGACTGAGCTGTTAGCTTAGCAATGCATGTGTGATGCACGCAAGCAAATCAGCAACTTATGAGGTTCCTTATTGTGTGAGAGTCTCAGTTAACATCTGAACTGATGGCTCATGCTGTAATTAACTCTTTGTAAACTCTAGATCTCGATGCCTCATCAGTGGCTGGAGGGGAATCTGCCCGTCAGCGCCAAATGCACCGTGTGCGATAAAACCTGCGGCAGCGTCTTGAGACTGCAGGACTGCCGCTGTTTATGGTGCAAAGCCATGGTGCGTGCATGAAACTTCACTCTTTCTGACATTTATTATGTTTTATTAATTTTAGACTACACATTTATTAAAATACCCTAATGTTCTCCAGGTGCATGCTGGGTGTAAAGACCAGCTCTCTCCGAAGTGCCCACTGGGTCAGTGTAAAGTGTCTGTGATCCCACCCACCGCCCTCAACAGCATCGACTCGGACGGTGAGCGTCCAATCAGAGCAGTCCCTCAGCAACAACCAATCAGAACGCTTCCCCAGAGACGACCAATCAGAAAGAGCCATCTCATGGAAATAGCCAATCAGAGCTCTGTGTCAGAAATAACTCATCCAAGTCACCTCTAAGAAATGACCAATTATGGCATTATGTCAGAAATAGTTGAGAACTGAAGTACGCAGATGCTTTAGACTGAAGATTCAAAGTGATTCAGTGTTGATATTAAGCACACCAAACATAAAAGTAATAGTTTAATGCAAATGCTGTGAGGCTTCAGTCAAAAGCAAAATACTTGGAACAAGAAAAAGTGTCATTGTTGACTAAAACTAAAACTAAAACTAGTAAAAGTCATGTTTGTTAATTGACATAAAGCTGGAATAAAATAGAATAGAAATATTAGGTAAAAAAAAAACTTGGTCTTACTCTTGAAAAAACTTAAACTTGTTTTATTTCAGGCTTCATTTTCAATTTTTGTTTAAGTTGAAGTACTAAAATTACTAAAACTTAAAATGAATTAAAATAAATTAAAGCTAAATAAAAATATTTTTCAAAAATTCAAAAACTAATAAAAATGATAAAAGCACATCATTAAAAATAAAAAATGAAATTACTAAAACTAAAATAAAATGCTAGCTGAAAATATAACAATAAAAGCTAATTTACAATATTAATAAATATTATATTAATACTATGTAAATGGCAACAATCCAAAAATAATAATAACGATAAAAGCACATTAAAAAATTACTAAAATTATTTTAAAAATCTAAATATTAATAAATACTATAACACTAGTAAACGATAAGACTTTGTAATAAAGTTCCAAATCCAAAACTAATAAAAATGGGAAAACGCACTTAAAAATGACTAAAATGACTGAAAATAAAATAAAATAAAAGCTGAAAATATAAAAATAAAAGCTAATTCAAACATATTTATAAATATTAAAATAAAACATTTTACAGTAAAGTCAAATTAGTTATTTGTTACAGTATTTATTCATCTTTGTTAACATTAGTTAATAAAAATACAACTCAACTGTTAGTTCATGTTAGCTCAGGTGCGATAAAAAATATTAACAGATACCACTTTTGATTGTAATAATATATTAGCAAATGTAAAATATTAGTTAAGCTGGAATAAAATAAAATATAAATATTAGATGAAAAACTTATTTCATATAGTTGCCATGGCAACATTTTCAACTTTCATTTATATAAATGAATATGATATTAATAAATACTATAATTCTATGTAAATGGTAACATTTTACAATAAAGTCCCAAAACTAAAAATAATAAATCCATTAATAACAAATAGAACCTTATTGTAAAGTGTTACCATATCAATAAAACTAAAATAGCTGTGTAAAACTAAAATAGCTGTGTAAAATGTAAACATGTGTGTGTGTGTGCGTGTGTGTGTGCGTGTGTGTGTGTAAAATCAAACTGGAATTTTGAATCTGGCAATGTTCAGTGTATGCAAATTAGAGCATATTTAACCAGATATGGTCTTATTTGCATATTTAAACATTTTTAACTTTTCAGAAACTGGATAAGTGTGAAGTTTTTTGTTTTTCCCTTATTGACCTGTACTGTCTCGCCTTAAAGCGCAATTGTTACATGCCCTGCAGCTTTAGATTGTAAGAGTTTATCACATCATTTTCAATCCTCACAAGGAAACAAATGCTAACTCTCTGTTCCTGTGTGTGTGTGTGTGTGTGTGTGTGTGTGTGTGTAGGGTTCTGGAAGGCGACGTGTCCTCCGACCTGCACAAGCCCGCTGTTGGTGTTTGTGAACAGTAAAAGTGGAGATAATCAGGGCGTGAAGTTTCTGCGGCGTTTCAAGCAGCTGTTGAATCCTGCACAAGTGTTCGATCTGATGAACGGAGGGCCACATCTGGGGTAAAACGCCTGTTCACACAAATATGACCCTGGAGCACAAACCCAGTCATAAGGGTCCGTGTTTCTAAGATTCTAAGAATTTCTAAGAGATGTATGCATCTTCTGAAAGCTGAATAAATAAGCTTTCCATTGATGTATGGTTTGTTAGGATCGGACAATATTTGGCTGAGATACAACTATTTGAAAATCTGGAATCTGAGGGTGCAAAAAAATCAAAATATTGAGAAAATCATCTTTAAAGTTGTCCAAATGAAGTTCTTAGCAATGCATATTACTAATCAAAAATTAAGTTTTTATATATTTATGGTTGGAAATTTACAAAATATCTTCATGGAACATGATCTTTACTTAATATCCTAATGATTTTTGGCATAAAAGAAAAATGTATAATTTTGACCCATACAATGTATTGTTGGCTATTGCTACAAATATACCCCAGCGACTTAAGACTGCTTTTGTGCTGCAAGGTCACATATCAGGATCGTAAGCATCCACTGAGATCTATCTGTGATTCATATTTGTTCAGTGACAGCTTTACCTGTGTGTGTGTGTGTGTGTGTGTGTGTGTGTCTGTCTGTCGCAGCTTGCGTCTGTTTCAGAAGTTCGACACGTTTCGTATTCTGGTGTGTGGAGGAGACGGCAGCGTCGGATGGGTTTTATCAGAGATAGACACGCTGACTTTACACAAACAGGTACAATTCATTACAGAAACAGACAGATAATCAAACTGCCAAACTACAAAAAAATAGTTTTTCATCATTACTTGCCTTCACTGCAACCTGTCAAAATAAAAGTTCGTTTTAATTTTAAGAAATTGTGGCGGAAATGTATCTTACTATTGTACTGTAGAATGTAGTCTCAAATAACAATAATAAAATTATGAAAACTTTATTTTTAAGTAATATCACACCATTTTTCTTCAATATTTAATTTTAATAGGAAGCTTCTATTGTGCAGCACCGTTTTACCAAAAAATAAAAGGAATTGTTAAATTATCATGTGATTAAATTTGAAAAGATTAATTAAATGAATGTTTTAAGCCTACTTTTGATTTCTTCCATTTTTTTACTAAATAAATTGTATTATTAACTAATAAATCCAGACAAATTAAAACAGACAAGACAGACTTTGTGGAAAAAATTCAACATTCCATTGAGCTCTATTATTGTAAAAATGTGAATAAATTATTAAATTGTTAAATTTGTATAAATTCAATAATTTAGATTGTTAAAATTTAAATAAACCATTAAACAGATTAAAAATTCTAATAAAAACCATTAAGCAGAATTCAAATAAAAAATTAATTAAAATTGCTAAATAATAATAATAATAGAACTTATTATTATTATTATTTTTAATAATAATAATAATAAAAATCAATTAATAAAATTACAAAAGAATTTTGGAAATTAAAATGGAAAAATGCAATTTGGAAAAGAATAAAATGTATTTCATAGGGCCCCAAATATGGCATTAATATATAGGACACAATAGACACAGTTTCTTTGCTTATACTGCCTTCTGGTGGTGGATGTTCTGTGCACGGCTGAAAATCAGCTCTGTGTTATGTATACGTTAGATATTTTTTACATGAACATTTAAGCATTTAGGAAAGAAATGCTTTTATCCGAAGCGACTTAAATTGCATTTAAGGTTTTACGTTTTCTGAGTTCATGCATTCCCTGGGAATCAAACCCATCTTCATCCAAGCTCTACTGTTTGAGTTCCAGGTTTATGTCAAGAAGAGTGCTGATGTGTGTTGTTTTGTGTTGGCTCTGCAGTGCCAGCTCGGTGTACTTCCTCTGGGAACAGGAAATGACCTGGCCAGAGTTTTGGGGTGGGGCTCGGCGTGTGACGACGACACACAGTTACCGCAGATCCTGGAGAAACTCGAGAGAGCCAGTACTAAGATGCTAGACAGGTCAGTGTGTGTTTGAAGTCGTCGTCGCAGTCTGTTTCTCTCCTTCACAAACATTTAAGCACTTTTGTTTCTCTTAGATGGAGTATTATGGTATATGAGACCAAGTTACCACGGCAACACTCCAGCTCCACGGTAACAGAGGACTGTAGTGAGGACTCCGAGGTAACAGTGATGATGATTAATGGCCTTCATTTGGACATTTTCTTTATTACATATAATAGAAAAAGCTAATAAACATGTCAAAAGCACATTACGAAAATACTCAAATGAAAATGTAAGTATAACAATAAAAGCTCATTCAAAATATGAATAAATTCTAGAATGTTATATAAGTATATACTGTATAATTTAAAGTAGGGCTTCATGATTAATCAAAATAAAACAGAATTAATTTGTGCAGTTATCAAATCTCAAAGGCTGCAATTAAATTAAATTAATGTGTTTCAAAGTGAAGTACAGCACTGTGATCTTTTACTAAATAAAAGCTTTATGGTTTGATGATTGAAAATTAAGAAGTTAAGACAGCCATAAATATTATTGTATAATTAAATATTTTAATTTCACAGTTGTACTTTAAAATAAATGTATTAATATATTTTTTGTTTTACAGTGAAATATTACAATAGAAATATTTTATTTAGTAATAATAATTAAAATAAAAGTATATAAGACATATTGATATATAATCGCAATATTTTGGGGCAATTTGCTGCCCTACAAACAAGCACTGCAAATCTGGAGCTATTTTATTTTATTTTATAACATTTTATTTTATTTATAATTTCAGTTCCACAGTTTATTTATAATTTCAAAATTAATACAATTCAAATAAAATCATTCTTAATTTTTTTGTTTTACATTGAAATATTACAATAAAAATATGTTTTATTTAGTTATATATTTTATTTAGTTATAATAATAATCATCATCATAATAAAAATATTAATAATTATTGTTACAGCCGTATTGATATGTAATCACAAAATTTGGGGCAAACTGCTGCCCTACAAACAAGCACAGCAAATCTGGAGATTTTTATTAAAAAAAAATTTCGCAATGTTACTGTTAGTCAAGGTTTCTTGCACCATACACTGTTGTAATTTTGTTTTTCATAACCTTTTTCCACCCTTTATTTATTAAATAATCAGTATGTCAGATAGTATATCAAAATCTTTTATTTTAAAATAACTGCTGCTGTTCTGTTTCCTCTGTTCTTTGGCTGTTCTGTGTTTCCTCTCTTCTGATTGGCTGTTCTGTGTTTCCTCTCTTCTGATTGGCTGTTATGTGTTTCCTCTCTTCTGATTGGCTGTTCTGTGTTTCCTCTGCTCTGATTGGCTGTTATGTGTTTCCTCTCTTCTGATTGGCTGTTCTATGTTTCCTCTGCTCTGATTGGCTGTTCTGTGTTTCCTCTCTTCTGATTGGCTGTTCTGTGTTTCCTCTGCTCTGATTGGCTGTTATGTGTTTCCTCTCTTCTGATTGGCTGTTCTATGTTTCCTCTGCTCTGATTGGCTGTTCTGTGTTTCCTCTCTTCTGATTGGCTGTTATGTGTTAGCTCTCTTCTGATTGGCTGTTATGTGTTTCCCCTCTTCTGATTGGCTGTTCTGTGTTTCCTCTCTTCTGATTGGCTGTCTTGTTTCAGGTGCAGCACATTCTGACGGCTGTTCTTTGTTTCCTCTCTTCTGATTGGCTGTTCTGTGTTTCCTCTCTTCTGATTGGCTGTTATGTGTTTCCTCTCTTCTGATTGGCTGTTCTGTGTTTCCTCTGCTCTGATTGGCTGTTCTGTGTTTCCTCTCTTCTGATTGGCTGTCTTGTTTCAGGTGCAGCACATTCTGACCTATGAGGACTCAGTTGCTGCTCATCTCTCCAAAATCCTGACGTCTGATCAGCATTCGGTGGTCATTTCATCTGCCAAGTATGTACTGGATATGTGAGCATTTCTCTATATGTGTATTCTTGCTGGTGGTTTATCTAAAAGCGTGTTTTTCAGAGTCCTGTGTGAGACGGTAAAAGACTTTGTTGCGAAAGTCGGACGTGCTTACGAGAAAAACACAGAAAACTCAGAAGAATCAGAGGCCATGGCTAAAAAGGTCAGCTGTGATTGGCTATCGGATGAGTCGCTGTTTGTGATTGGCTGTTGGAAGGCCTGGAATGTTCTGTGATTGGCTGATGAATGACTCAGGATGTTTTGTGTGCAGTGTGGTGTGCTGAAAGAAAAGTTGGACTCGTTATTGAAAACGCTTAACGATGAAGCCCAGGCCAGCAGTGTGATGTCTGCACCGCCGCCCACCATCGCTGAGGAGCAGGTGGATGGGGAGGGTGTGGTTCTGGCTCCGCCCACTGCCCCGCCCACAGTCACAGCCACTTGTTCGCCTCGACCGCCCGCCGCCATCTTCAAACCCCGAGAGCAGCTGATGCTTCGAGCCAACAGCCTGAAGAAAGCCATCAGACAAATCATAGAGCACACCGAGAAAGGTAGCGTATTTTTGCTGGTAATTACATAAAAAAAAAATCAATGAATATATAAACAATTTAAATATATAAAATCTAGTATCGTGCATCCCTATTTTATAATTTATAATTTCATTGATGCATATCAAGTATTTATTCTTAATTGTTAATTGAAAAACTTAAACTTAAAAAGCGTATTTAAAAAAATGTAAGTTGAAGTAGTAAAATTACTAAAACTGAAATAAAACTAAATTAAAGCTAAATAGAAATTTATTAAAAACAAAAACTAATATAAATTACAAAAGTGAATACCAAAAATGCTAAATTACTGAAATTAAAATGAAGCCTGAAAATATGACATTAAACGCTAAGTCATTAATAAATACTAATAGGAATATACTTTAAAGTAGGGCTGCATGATTAATCGCAATAAAACTGAAATATGTGACCCTGTAGCACAAAAGCAGTCTTAAGTCGCTGGGGTATATTTGTAGAAATTGTATGGGTCAAAATTATTGATTTTTCTTTTATACCAAAAATCATTAGCATATTAAGTAAAGATCATGTTCCATGAAGATATTTTTGTAAATTTCCTACTGTAAATATATCAAAACTTAATTTTTGATTAGTAATATGCATTGCTAAGAACTTCATTTGGACAACTTTAAAGGTGATTTTCTCAATATTTAGATTTTTTTGCACCCTACAAATAATATGTATATGCATGTATTTGTATCTATTTTTGCAAATGATAAAAAATAGTATAATATGATAAACATTTTTACACAGATATATATGTATGTAAATAAGTCATTTTTCTAGCTAACTGACAAGTCTTTGGACATTGAATGTCTTTCCTGAGGTACATGTAATGATGTTGTATTGGCAGCTTTCTGTGGTTGAAACAACTGATTGATTGATTGATTGATTGATTGATTGATTACATGAGGCATGAATAATTTCAGTAAGCTGTACGGTTTCTTTCAGCACCTTCTGATGTTCATTCATGTTTATTTCATGCTACAACTAGTAGTAAAGAGGAAGAGATGATCGGTTCATAGCTATTGCGATCCGTCATGCCACATTAAAGAGCAGCAAACAACATTTTTTGTCAATTCTGTGATAAAATTGACAGAACTTGAAAGCTTTGACTTTGTTTGATGTCAAATGTAACAAGCACAAAACTTATCGCAATTATTGCATGGAAAGTTTTGTTCCTGCATCACCAAAACAGCATAGACTAAAAGATCAATCTTGGGATTTAAGAATCGATATCAACAATATAAAGAGTGATTATTATTGTCAACCCGCCCTACTTCACATTATAATTCAAAACTAAAGATTTCACATGTTTATGATCTCGTCTTTCAGCGGTGGATGAACAGAACGCTCAGACGGAGGAGGGTTTGCCTTCACTACCGGCGGAGGAAGAAGAGGAGGACGATGGTTCAGAAACATTGTCTCTGCAGTCGTCATACAGCAGCCGAGCGCGAGCCAGCAGACGAGGTGAGACGACTCGTTACCAAGACTCCCTCCTGACACACAGCGGCACTCGTTTACTCATTTTCTCTCTCTAACTCAGCATCTAAGACTCCATGTGAGAAGCTCATCAGTAAAGGAATCCTGTCCATAGGCAGCTCCGCCTCACTTCCTGCTCAGACAGGAAGTAGAGAGAACATGCCCATGCTGAACACTAAGATCCTCTACCCAAGTAAGAGCGGCAGTCTGTATAGAAGCGGCAGAGGTTTTACTGTCGTTCAGAAGCTGATGTTGTGTGTTTGTGCGTGCAGGTCTCAGAGCTGGTGTGTCGGGGTCTTTTAGCGGTTCGGTGATCACCAGGCTTCTGGTCAATGCTGATCCGTTCAGCTGTGATCCGGAGAACCTGTGAGTCGTCGCTTCTTTCTGTCATTATGTCAACCGATCATTTAGGGCAAAGGCTGATGGGAAAGTGCTTCTCTGTGTGTTTCAGGGATCTGTTCACGGAGAAATGTGTGATGAATAATTATTTTGGAATCGGTCTGGATGCCAAAATCTCTCTGGACTTCAACAACAAACGTGACGAGCATCCAGAGAAATGCAGGTACAGGAACACTTCAAACATATCGTCACAAACGTTTTTGAAAGAAGTCTCTTCTGCTCACCAAAGCTGCATTTATTTGATCAAAAATACAGTAAAAACTGGGAAATTATGAAATATTTGAACTATTTTGAATAGCTGTTTTCTCTGTGAATATCTGTACAAATGTAGTTTATTTCTGGGATCAAAGATGAATTTTCAGCATTATTACTTCAGTCTTCAGTGTCACATGATCTTCAGAAATCATTCTAATATGCTGATTTGTGACCCCGGACCACAAAACCAGTCATAAGGATAAATTTTTTTATAATTGAGATTTATACATCATCTATAGTAATAATATAATATAGTAATAATATAATAAATAAGCCAGGGTCACATCTGCTACAAAAAAAAAAAAATTTTTTTAAATGTTGAAAAACATTTAATATTTTGTTGATATTTATTGTGTGTGTGTATATATATATATATATATATATATATACATACAAAATGACAATATAAACAACTGCTAGATGAACAAAGTTAGTATATGTACTATTAAGTTAGTATTTATACTAGTATTAGTATTATGGTGCATCCTTGTAATTATTTTTTCTCTGTTTAGAAGTCGCACTAAAAACATGATGTGGTATGGAGTCCTGGGAACCAAAGAACTTCTGCACAGAACATACAAGAACCTGGAACAGAAAGTTCTGCTGGAGGTCTGTGTGTGTGTGTGTGTGTGTGTGTGTGTGTACATGTTAGAAGGTTAATCATACCTAACCTGTGTGTGTTTGTAGTGTGACGGGAGGCAGATCCCTCTTCCCAGTCTGCAGGGAATCGCTGTGTTGAATATTCCCAGTTATGCAGGAGGAACCAACTTCTGGGGCGGAACTAAAGAGGATGATGTACGTTTGTGCAACAACTTCCTGTGTGTTTGAGTGTGTGAAATATGGAAGTGTGTGTTTGTAATAAAATGTGTGTTTGTTCGCAGACGTTCACGGCGCCGTCGTTTGACGATAAGATCCTGGAGGTGGTGGCTGTGTTCGGCAGCATGCAGATGGCTGTTTCTAGAGTTATTAATCTACAGCATCACCGTATCGCACAGGTACACACACACACACACACACACGTTTATTTATGATACCAGTAAAAAGTTTGGGATGATTAAAATTTTTTATGTATTTGAAAGAAGTCTGTTCTGCTCACCAAGGCTGCATTTATTTGAACAAAAATAGAGTAAAAAAATAATTTAATATTATTACAATTTAAAACAACTGTTTTCTATGTGAATATCGGTTGAAATGTAATTTATTGAAATGTTATTTATCAAAGCTGTATTTTCAGCATCATTACTCCAGTCTTCAGTGTCACATGATCTTCAGAAATCATTCTAATATGCTGATTTGCTGCTCAAGAAACATTTCTGATTATTATCAATGTTGAACACAGTTGTGCTGCACAATATTTTTGTGACACATTTTATTTTTCAGGATTCTTTGATGAATAGAAAGTTAAAAAGAACAGCATTTATTTGAAAATAGAAATTTTTTTAATATTATAAATGTCGTTACCATAACTGTTGATCAATTTAATGCGTCCTTGCTTATTAATATTTATTTCTCTCAAAAAACAGTTTACTGACCCTAGAATTTTAAATATTAATGTGAATGTATATATAAAATGTATATTATTTAAAAAAAATTACTGCTAGATATGTAAAGTTAATTATTACAGAGACAAATAATATATTAAATATAATATTGTATTTCTGTACTATTATAGTGCATCTATGTAATTCTTTTTGGTTTTAAGCCAATAGTCATACTGTATTTTGAATAAAATAAACAATAATTAAAATAAACATGAAACAATGATACACTGCCATTTAAAAGTTTGGCAAATAAGATTAAAAAAAAAAAAGAATACTTTTACTCTGCTAAACTTTTACCAAACATATGAAGCATCACAACTGTTTTCAACATTGATAATAATCAGAAATGTTTCTTGAGCAGCAGATCAGCATATTAGAATGATTTCTGAAGATCATGTGACACTGAAGACTGGAGTAATGTATAGGCGATCAAATAGGCGCTGTCTTTATAAATATACAGCAGGTTTGAGTTTTAAACAACTACATTCTCACCTTAAAACTACATCGTAAAACTACATTTCATGACACAATAACAGTGATATTTTGAAAATTATGTGAATAAATGGTGGTTGAAATACAATGCTGCGTGAACTCAACCAATCAGCATGCTCAGCGCCCAAGTCCCGCCCCCAAAAGTTCCAGACCTTTGGAAAAGTACTACCTCGCAAGCAGGGACTTTCTGAGGGGCAGATTTTTACCCGGAACTGTATTTAGATCCTGGTTCCTGCGGTAGAAACAGGCTTTTTGATTGTTAGAACTAGTTATAAATACTATAACCTGACCCCAACAGAAAGCTTCCTGCATTTTATGCCTTTTTTATATATGAGGACATCACCCAAAGGAGGTTTTGTCAGGTTTCACTCAATTCTGGGTACAAATTTGAATATATTTAAGTAGGTAGATACACTTGATGATTTAAACATCTGTGTGTGTGTGTGTGTGTGTCTCTTCATCAGTGCCGAACAGTGAAGATCACTATTCTGGGAGATGAAGGTGTACCTGTGCAGGTGGACGGGGAGGCCTGGATACAACCGCCCGGATACATCCGGATCCTCCACAAGAACCGCACACAAACCCTCACCAGAGACCGGGTCAGTGCCACATGCATGGCATTATGGGAACTCGAGAGGAGGGCTCTCAGATAAGTGCAACGCAGCTCACGTATGGCTGTTTTGCAGGCGTTCGAGAACACTTTGAAGTCATGGGAGGACAAACAGAGAGGCGAGATTCCACGGCTGGTTTCCCAGCATGCATCGCAGCCGGAGGTCGTTTCTGAAGAGGAAACTGCTCAGATCAGCCTGTTCGGACAGGCAGCCGGTGCACTTATACACAGGTACAGGGGTGTTTTTTAAAGAAATTAGTACTTTTATTCATAAAGGATGCATTAAATTGGTGAAAAATGACAGTAAAGACATTTATAACGTGACAAAAGATTTCTATTTCAAATAAATGCTGTTATTTTGAACTTTCTATTCATCAAAGTATCCTGAAAGATAAAATGTATCACAGTTTCTACAAAAATATTGGCCAGCACAGCTGTTTTCAACATTGATAATAATCAGAAATGTTTCTTGAGCAGCAAATCAGCATATTAGAATAATTTCTGAAGATCATGTGACACTGAAGACTGGAGTGATGATGCTGAAAATTCAGCTTTGATTACAGAAATAAATTACAGTTTAACAGATATTACAATAGAAAACAGGTATTTGAAATTGCAATAATATTTCTAAATTTTACTGTTTTTACTGTATTTTTAATCAAATAAATGCAGCGTTCTACATTTATAGATTGAACGTGCATGTATGTGTGTTTAGTATCAGGGAAGTGGCACAGTCTCATCACACTATCGAGCAGGAATTGGCTCATGCGGTCAACGCCAGCTCTAAAGCCATGGATCTGGTGTACGCGAACTCCAAAAGCAGCGGGGTGAGTCAGCGTATGGATTATGACATAACTGCTGCTGAACCGCTCTGGTTTGGTTCCTCATGACATGCTTGACATGCGTCGTGTGTGTGTTTGTGTGTGTTTGTGTGTGTGTGTGTGTGTGTGTGTGTGTGTTTGTAGGGTTTGACCTGTAACGTGGTGATGGAGATGGTCAGTAACGTCAAAGCTCTGCACAGCGAGACCGAACTGCTGCTCGCGGGAAAGATGTGCCTGGTGAGTGAATCATACAGAGAAATGTGGGTGTTTACTGTATCAGAGTTAATATTAGGGAGAAAAATGAATGTGAGAAATCAATCAATCAATATGGCAGCCGATAGAAAGAAAGTCCCGCCTTTCAATTAAAACAGCCAATTGCCTTTTTGATAGATTAATTTACTGTAGAACTTACATGCGCATGACTAGGAAACAGCTAAAACACTGTTGTTATTTGAAATAAAACTGAAATAAAATATCAGTATTAGATGAAAATAAAAAAAAAAGATTAAAGCTTGCAGCGATGAAAGGGCCCTTGCACTCGGTTCACCGGCACCTGGTGGCTTTAGGAAAACAGCAAACAGTGGGCAATATGCATTTATAGTGGTAAATATGTGTGTGTGTGTTTGTAGGGTTTGACCTGTAACGTGGTGATGGAGATGGTCACGTACGTCAAAGCTCTGCACAGCGAGACCGAACTGCTGCTCGCGGGAAAGATGTGCCTGGTGAGTGAATCATACAGAGAAATGTGGGTGTTTACTGTATCAGAGTTAATATTAGGGAGAAAAATGAATGTGAGAAATCAATCAATCAATATGGCAGCCGATAGAAAGAAAGTCCCGCCTTTCAATTAAAACAGCCAATTGCCTTTTTGATAGATTAATTAACTGTAGAACTTACATGCGCATGACTAGGAAACAGCTAAAACACTGTTGTTATTTGAAATAAAACTGAAATAAAATAAAATATCAGTATTAGATGAAAAAAAAAAAAGATTAAAGCTTGCAGCGATGAAAGGGCCCTTGCACTCGGTTCACCGGCACCTGGTGGCTTTAGGAAAACAGCAAACAGTGGGCAATATGCATTTATAGTGGTAAATATAGGAGGACTATGTCAAAGTCATTTATATGTGCCAAACTTCATGCTGCCAGCTGGTGGCGCTATGATTATAACTGAATGTTGGCATGTAGATGTCTTCAGGCCAGGACTTTTATCAAACATGTGAAGTCTGGTGCAGAATATATAAAAAATAATTCAAAATATAAAAAAAAAAAACTACATTAGTGTATCAATGATTTTAAAATAACACTGCACCTAACAGTATAGTGCTATACTTCTGTTTGTTTAGCGAGTGGCGTCATCTTCCTTAATGAAAATAAAAAGTGGCATAAAGCACTTAATATAAAATGATTGAATATATTAATCATAAACAAATGTGATTGGTCCATCCTGACCAGCGCTGACAGAAGCGTGTATTAATGATTTATATCTATGTGCTTCAGCAGCGACCTGGTTTGTAATGTTAGTGATTGAGAGACATGAATAGGCGCTGAATTGATTGAGTTGAGTGATTTAGACACAGCTCTGTCTCTGTGTTTGTGTCTCTGCAGCAGCTGGATCCTCCTCAGAGAGATCAGCTGATCGGTGCGTTGAGTTCAGTCGCTCAGCAGTTACGCAGACTCACAGACATCAGCTGGCTCAGTCAGCTAATCGACCCGGCTGACGACGAGGTGCGTGACATCCAGATGTTTTTGGGATGTTTTGGTGTCTCTACTCCAGTCTAATGTGTGTTTGTGTGCAGGGTCAGCTGTCTGATTTCTCCAAACGCAGTCGTAGCGCTAAATTCCGCCTCGTGCCCAAATTCAAGAAAGACAAAAACAACAAAAACAAGGAGACGTGCGCCGCCCTTAACATGCCAGGTATGACCTCTGACCTCTGACCTGGTCCAGTGACCGTGCGTGAGTGTAACACACGTGTGTGTTGTGTGAGCAGTGAATACGTGGGGTGTGGATGAAGTGGCCGTCTGGCTGGAGATGCTCTGTCTGTCCGAGTATAAGGAGATCTTCATCAGACATGATATCAGAGGACCAGAGCTGCTTCAGCTGGAGAGGAGAGACCTGAAGGTATTAGCACTCAGATACGATGAAAGATGCACACATATAGATGCATTACTTGTGTTCAGTGTAAAAACAATGTGTAAATAATAAAGATAAGAGTACACTTTTAAAATTTGATTCATAAAATTTTATATAAATGACTAATAAATAAATTTGATTTATTATTTTAATCAGTTAATTTTTATTATAAATAAAAAAATGAAAATAAATTTAGTTTAAAATAACAAATAAATGAATTTTGTTTTAAATAGACAAGAATTACATTTGCATTAAAGAGTAGCAATTTGATTTAAATAACTACATTTATTAAATTCAAATAAATAAATACAATTTAATTTAAATAACTAATAAACACATTTGAGTAAAATAAAAAATAAGTAATTTATTAAAATAATAAATTGTTAAAAATAACATTTAAAAAACTAAATAAATAATAAATACATTTGAGTTAAAATTAATATTAATTTCATTTAAATAAAGAAATTGATTCAAACAAATAAATAAATCAAATTTGATTTAAATGAATAAATAAGAAAATATAAACAGGGTTATTATAGTTAACTAAAACTGAACCCAAAAATGTTTCTTACTCAATACAAAAAACACATTTTATTTCAGCTAGTTGCCTTTGTATTTTTTGTTTGATTTAAATTGAAGTACTGAAAATTGAAAACTAAAACCTAAAACTTAAACTCCATAAACAAAAACTAATACAAATGACAAAAACACACAATAAAATTCCTAAAATTTTAACTAGAATTAAAGTGAAAACAGAAAATATAAAATAAAATCTCATTTAAAATATGAACAAAAACTATAGTAGTATATGAATAACACTGCATTTAACAGTATAGTACTATGAGTAAAAAAAATAAATAATGATGAAACAATTTTTATAATGGACACTCAATATTTTTGTATTGTTATTGTACACATTTATAATAGTATTTTTTTTACAGTATTAATGAGGTCTTTACACATGAAAAGATATAACTGCCTTTTAAATTTTAGTATGGGGTCCCTCTCATGAGATGATCATATTTGGGGTCTGTGAAAATCCCTGTGATTATCAAATGCTATGTTGTGTACAGAGCAATATGTGTGCTATTCTAGCCAAGAACTAAAGACTTCAAGCATCTCGTGTGTGTGTGTGTATCAGGATCTGGGAGTGACTAAAGTCGGCCACATGAAGCGGATCCTGCAGGGAATCAGGGATTTGAGTCGAAACAGCACAACCAGCGAAGCCTAGACGCTCCGCAGCCAATCAGATGCCTCGCTCGGACCTTACGAAGCTTCACTGGCCAATCAAACGTTCAGTCACGACTGTAAGCAGCCATACGCCGCCACTCGACCAATCACAGTGCCTTCTGTTCTCCTCCTCTGTGATATCATCGCTTTGGGGGAAACTATTTGACTACCTAGAAGGGGGAGATTTATCAAGAGCCATCAGAGGGTCGAACCAATGTCACAGACCCTGAAGAGCAAATGAGCATTCAGCCAAATTCACTGAAGACAACAGGAAATCCGACTTTTTTATTTTAAATACTTTTTTAAATGCTTTCAAGTCTTCTAAATCTGTCATCAAAACTGAATAATCATTTTAATTTCCTGTGATGTCACCAAGGCCCAGATTTATACTATTAACCAATAATCCTAAACCCCATGTTTTACAATGATCCAAATCAAATCCCGATGGATAATGGAGTCCCGCCCTCCATTATTTTCTGCTAAATATATTCAGTTTCATTCTAAAATGTCATTTTTCATAAGCTAAATGTGTGGGGAATGCAGTGTCATGTTGTCTTGAAGCTCTTTGGCTCTGTTCAAAACCTAGTGAGCTGCCTTGCTGTCTACTGCCTACATAGACAGCTGCCTTCTTAGCCACCAAATGATTTCCAGTTGGATAGATCCTCAGATGAGCATAAAATACAATGTAATATTGGGTCAAATACTTTCCCATTTTACATTTATGCATTTGGTTGATGCTTTTATCCAAAGTGACTTGCATTGCATTTAAGGTATAAAAAATAAATGAAATATTAAATTACATCCAATTAAAGTAAAATAAAATACAATTTTATAATAAATTATTAAATTATAATAATATTAATACAATTATAAAATTGATTAAAAATGAGCAAAAAATAATGTCTCCCAACCAAATATTTACATTTATGCATTTGGCAGACACTTATCCACTAACATTGCATTCAAGAAATAAAATAAATATAAAATGTAATTAAATAAAAAAAAATCATTTGATTGAAAACAATAAATTAATAAAATAAATACAGTTATAAAATTGATTAAAGATGAGTTGTAATATGCAAAAAATAAAGTCTCCCACCCAAATATTTGCATTTATGCATTTGGCAGACACTTATCCACTAACATTGCATTCAAGAAATAATATAAATATAAAATAAAGTAAAATGTAATAAAACATATACTTGATTGAAAACAATAAATTAATAAATACAACTATAAAATCGATTAAAGATTGATTGTAATGAGCAAAAAATAAAGTCTCCCACCCAAATATTTACATTTATGCATTCAGCAGACACTTTTATACAAAGCAGTCTTTTTTAGTTGTATTGAACTATTTTCATTGATTCATTCCAGCACTGAACGAACAATAGTCATACTTTCTCTTCTTTGTCCACTTTATCATACATGTGATGCTAGCTTAGAGAAGGTATTTTAAAAGTGTGTGATGCCTTAAAATGCTGTCCAAGTAGGGAGCTCACTAGGTTTGGGAAGGTGAAAAGCGTCATGAGACCTTTAACTTTGTTGAGACAATCAACTGTATTGACTTATCAAACTCGACCAATCAAACGCTCCGCTTTGCCCCGCGCCTCCACTTCCTCTTCCTCTTCCTGGATGCCTTAACGTTCCACCAGCATTCTGAGGAATCACATATCAGCCTGAAACACACGTCCATTCCTGTATTATACAGCTGCCCCGGACCTGAGTGAAAGCACGAGTGGAGGTGCACCGCTTTCAGACTAAACGTGCGGTTTGAGAAGTCAGTGTTGATGCAAACACAAACGTTTGACCGTAGACTTCAACTGTGATGCTGTCGAGTCGACAGAGACTAACTTTTAACATGAAACATTCCTTCAAAACAGGTATTTTACAGATATGTCTCATATGTTGGCTTTAAAAGAGCATTGATGGCAGAGTATTTCACAGTCTTAACCAGGTGACGTGATAAAAGTGCTCTCTTTTATGTAAATCAAAGTCTGCACTAGCCCCGCCCACTGTGAAATCTCATTGGTCAAAAACTTCAGTCCACATGATGTCAAATCAGTGGTTTTCAACCAGAGGGCTTCAAATTGCCACAAAATGATTTAAAATAAAACAAAACAAGCATTGAAAAGGGCCAAGAAACTAAAAGCCAATACATTTGATATTTTATTTTAACCTCTTACAAAAGTTCCCGCAATCTTGAAAAACCTGCAAGACTTATGAAGAAACTGTGGTTTCTAGACCTGGAAAAGTAATGGAAAATAATGAAATTGTATAACTCTATGGGCATTTATAGAATGAATATACCTTTTTTGTAGTTATACCAAGCTCTAAAACTAAAACTTTACCAAGTTTTTACATTTATGCATTTGGAACAATGGTTTTTATCCGAAGTGACTTGCATTCAAGGTACAAAATAAAATAATAAAATAAAAAAATATATATTTTTAATAAATATAGGCTAATAAATAATAATAAATCATACAATACCAAGCTCTAAAATATTTTATCAGGTTGAAATTGTAATTGTTTAAAAAAAAAAAATCCCAAAAATCTGTAAAAGTCATGCACAATGGAGTCAAAAAAGTTGAGAACCACTGCTGTATATTCGAAGTATGATTGACTTTTCAACCTGTTCTGTTGAACTGGAAATTATAAGTTCATGGCATTGCAAGTTGAACAAACTTAACTTTGGAAAAGCTCACACTTGAGTTGATCTGAATGCAAGCAGCTACTAGTTTACCATGTTTCTGTCTTCGGTGTTACCTGCTGCACTTTCTGTCTTCTTCAAGGTCAATTAGTCATGAAGTATTGACGTATATTTGCTGTGTGGACAGGCACAGTCAGTCGTGCCTGGTTAGGACACAACATGAAATGCTTTTTCAAATGCCATATAAACTTACAATGTCACAGTCGCCTTGACAACAGATAGAAATGTTTTCTAAGAGCTTTTTTACAAACTCTTCTGGGATTGAACATTGACTGTGTCTGAGACAAACACTGTTTTTACCCTTTAACTGCTTTGCACACTTCAGTGTGTGTGTGAGTCTACATAGTGTCTTGTTAGATGTAGATGTCAAGTGTGTGTGTTTTTCTCTGCTTCTCATCCAGTTTTACAGTCGAATCAGACTCATATCATGTCATTTTGGACTCCAGGGGCGTCCGATCTCTCTGACTGTTAAGTATTTATTTTATTGTTAAGTTATAACTTACATCCATGTGACGCTGTCCATCTTTTGTTTTTGTTGTTTTATTTTTTGTATATAGGCCATTACTAAGGATGTAAATAACTTGTTACTGTACAGTGAAACTGTCTGTATTAAAACAAGGTCTGTGTAACTCTAAACTGCTGTCTTTTGTCAATTTTCTTTTTCTTTCTTTCTTTTTTTTTTTTACTAAACAGAAGCAGAGTATTAACATTAAATGGTGTCATTGTGCTGCACATATATTTTTATTTTACTTTTTTAAAACTTTTATTATAAGAAAATGTTTATAATAGTATATTAACAGTAATTTGCAGTAATTTCACATTGTACAGTGTCATTTTGGTGTATGTATATTTTTATTCTATCTTTTTAAAGTACTTTTATAATAGTAATGTAAAAGCAATTTTTTAAGACAAAATAAATTAGTTTTAGAATAGTAATTTAAAATTTGTTTTTTTTGTAATAGTAATTTAATAGCAATTTATTATACATTATAAATTACATTTGTATAGTGTCATACCATATACATATATTACTTTAATTTTTTTAATTAAAAAAATTAGTTTTAGAATAGTAATTTAAGATTTGTTTTTTTTGTAATAGTAATTTGATAGCAATTTATTATACATTATAAATTACATTGTATAGTGTCATACCATATACATATATTACTTTAATTTTTTTAATTAAAAAAATTAGTTTTAGAATAGTAATTTAAGATTTGTTTTTTTTGTAATAGTAATTTGATAGCAATTTATTATACATTATAAATTACATTGTATAGTGTCATACCATATACATATATTACTTTAATTTTTTTAATTAAAAAAATTAGTTTTAGAATAGTAATTTAAGATTTGTTTTTTTTGTAATAGTAATTTGATAGCAATTTATTATACATTATAAATTACATTGTATAGTGTCATACCATACATATATTACTTTAATTTTTTTTATAAAAAATTAATTTGTTTTAGAATAGTTATTTACATTTTTTTGTATAATAGTAATTTAATAGCAATTTATTATAAGTAATGCATTACATTGTATACTATCAAACCATACATATATTTTAATTTGAGTTTTTTTTTAGAACAATAAATTCTTTTTAAAATAGTAATTTAACATTTTTATTTTTTATAATTGTCATTTATTAGCAAATTATTATACATTATAATAGTGACATATAGTGACATAATTCTGTACACAAAATTCTAGAATAGTAATTTATAATTATTGTATAATTGTAATTTAAAAGCAATTTATTATAAGTAATAAATTACATGGTATAGTACTGTACAAACAATTTAATTAAATTTTTTTTATTAAAACAAATTGTAGAATAGTAATTAAAATGGTTATTTTTATAATAGTAATTAATAAAAATGTATTATAAATAATCAAATACAAAATCCAAAAAATCATAGCTCAAGAAAGACGCAAATAAATAAATATTGCAAATATGCATAATACTGTATGTATTACGTATTATGTATCATGTGCTGGTTACTCCACTGCACACCTCGGATCACTTCCTCCTCACTCTTAACCTCAACATGGTTCCTGACACAACACATACCCCTACACATGTCATCTTTCGACGTAACCTACGCTCACTCTCACCCTCCCGGCTATCTGCTATGGTTTCATCTTTGCTTCCTCCCCCTGAACAGTACAGAACTGCTTGTGGTTCCATTAAACCCATCGTTTTATCACAATTGCACCATCCAGTTAGGCACATCAACCAAAACTCCTTGAAAAACAGCCAAACACATCTCTTCCATCTTTATTTGACCCTCTAACTCTAGCACTCTCTATTCTAAATTTATAATAAAAAAAAAACTTTCTAACGTGTACTGCGTTAAGCTAACCGAGACTTGTTATAGCACTTGTATATCATTGCTCTTTTGTTGTTTTTGATTGCTGCCATTTTCCTCATTTGTAAGTTGCTTAGGATGAAAGTGTCTGCTAAATGACTAAATGTAAATGTACTATGTTATCATACTACGGGCCCTATTCTTATCAGCAAATGTATGTTTTTTCCTGTAAGCTTTTTTTTTTTAAATAGTGCTTTGGATCCATATTTGTGAGCTTTTTATTAAAAAACAAAATATATATATATATATATAAATAAAACGAGAATGAAAAGTATTTCTGCGTTGGCCGGGAATCGAACCCGGGTCAACTGCTTGGAAGGCAGCTATGCTAACCACTATACCACCAACGCTTGGTAGTATTAAAGAATTATCAATAATTTTTAAAGAAAGCTAAACATGTATTTGTTCACTAAAACTATTTGTAAAGTGTTTTTGTGTTGCTTTGTGAGTATAATAACCAATAGTCACATATATCATGATATATTTAATGATATTAAACATAATTTCGTCAATTTCCTCTTCAAATTCATTCAGTTAGCATTAGCCTGTTAGCTGTTGCATTCAAACGCACACTTACAAACAGCGCCTCTCCTCGAACTGCTAATTTAGTCTGTTTTACTCTAAAAATCAAACATTAGATCCTTGTGAATACCTGTGTGGTTATATCTATTTCTTTTAGCGTTTATCTGCTAATATACGTGTGTGATTTGATCAGAGTATCGGGTGTATTTTTGTGTTTTAGCAGAAGCTAACAGGCTTTTCATCTTTAGACTATTCACTTTTGGATCAGAAATGGATTTATTTGGTGATCTTCCGGAACCTACAAATGATCCAGGTGGGTTAATTCTCACCAGTAATATAATAATATATTGCATGTGTAATAGGTGTTAGAATTAGTGATTTAGATTTAAATTTTACGTTAAGTTGTGCAGTTAAATGTGGATACAGTGCAGGGCATGCTGCACGAGCCTGGCTTCAATATTACCAACACAAAAAATGTCTATAAAAATAAACAATATTGTGCCTCATTTAATAACTAACGTGTTAAATTAACGTGATTATCTTATATATGCATGCATACATAGCCTAGTCGCTCGTTTTGAGAATATGTATACTGCAGAATGCGTTGTTTATATGTGAATGCATGAAAATCTGTCTGTGTTTCAAATCCTAGTGATCCTACTTCACAAGTGTGCCTCAGAAATGCTGTCTTGGTAGGCAGCTCACTCAATTTTGAAAAATAGCCTGTATTTATTGATGCAGATGCATGGTTTGGAAGTGGTTGACTTATTTCTCTCTCTTCAGTGTAAGGATTGGTGTTAATGCTGAAGTTTTATTGAACAGGTCCTGTTAAAGCCAAGCAGCCGGAAGAGGGCACAGAGGAGGATCGAGGAGAGAAGAGGAAGAGAGACGTCAGCTCGGAGGAGACAGAGGTGGAAGACAAGAAACAAGAGGAAAAGAAAGTTTGTAAAGGTTTTCAGCTTTCCAGGCACATTGTGTTGCTGATAGAGATTGTGTGTGTGTGTGTGTTTGCAGTGAGAGAGGGAAGATCTGTGATGATCTCGGTCTCTTTCTGTTTGCTGTGTTCCAGCAGATCTTGTGAAGCTGACAGGCTTTGTCTCAGCGAGACGCGGTGAACGAGAGGAGATGCAAGATGCTCACGTCCTGCTTCCAGATCTGACATCCAGCATCACCAACCTCCCCTCGCAAGTGTGAGTTTATCTATCTATCTATCTATCTATCTATCTATCTAATCTATCCATCCATCCATCGTCTATCCTTCTATCATCCATCCATCCATCCATCTCTGTGTGTGTTGTGCAGTTCTCGTCTTGCGTACTTCGCTGTGTTTGATGGTCACGGTGGAGCTCGAGCGTCGCAGTTTGCTGCCGAGAATCTCCATCAGACGCTGCTCAGCAAATTTCCTAAAGGTAAAGCCCATCCGCCCTGATCCTCGTCACACTCACAGCTACAATAACTAGCTGTTCCCATAATGCATCATGATTTGCAGGTGACGTGGAAAATTTGGAGAAGCTGGTGAGGAAGTGTCTGCTGGACACCTTTCGTCAGACTGATGAGGATTTCCTGAAGAAAGCCTCCAGCCAGTGAGTTCTGCTTTAATTGGTTTTGCTGGATTTGAAATGAAGTGAAGTGAAAACACTGTGTGTGTGTGTGTGTGTGTTTGCAGGAAACCTGCGTGGAAGGACGGCTCGACGGCCACATGTATGCTGGTGGTTGATGATGTTCTTTATGTGGCAAACCTGGGAGACAGTAGAGTAAGTCTGAAGACTAAAACTGAACTCAAATGTTAATAGTTCACCTAAAAATGAAAATGTGCTCACCCTCAGGCCGTCCAAGATGTAGATGAGTTTGTTTCTTCATCAGATTTGGAGAAATGTAGCATTGCATCACTGTCTCAGCGATGGACCCTCTGCAGTGAATGGGTGCCGTCAGAATGAGAGTACAGACAGCTGATAAAAACATCACAATAATCCACAAGTAATCCACAGCACTCCAGTCCAAGAAACAAACTCATCTACATTTTTGATGGAATCAACATCTACATCTTAGATGAAATGTTCAGCTAATTTTTTGCTGAACTATTCCTTTAAACATCAAATTTGATTATAATTCTTCTGATTTCACTGAAACCACAATGCGAAACATCTTAATGTTTTGTGTATTAGGCAGTGCTGTGTCATTTGGAGCAGGCTGAGGATTCTGGGAAAAGGAAGTGTGTGACTCTGGCTCTCAGTAAGGAGCACAACCCCACCATATATGAGGAGCGCATGAGGATTCAGAGAGCGGGCGGCTCGGTCAGGTGTGTGTGTGTGTGTGTCTGTGTGTGTGTGTGTGTGTGTGTGTCTGTGTGTGTATATGCAGTCATCAGGAGGGGTTCTGTACGGTGGCCGAGAAGTGCAAAACAATTCACAATTCTGAAAACAAAATAACAAATTACAAAAATGCAAATGTGTGTCTGTGTGTGTATATGCAGTCATCAGGAGGGGTTCTGTACGGTGGCCGAGAAGTGCAAAACAATTCACAATTCTGAAAACAAAATAACAAATTACAAATGCAAATGCAAATCTAAAAAACAAAATAACAATTCAGAAAACACAAGGACAATGAAATGAGATACAGCCCTTTGCTTGCAGCACATCAGTCACGCTCGTCAGGAAAGTGAGTGAAACCAAAGACTATAGAATACCCTTAAATTTGTTATTTCCTTGTTATTTCTTAAAGGGACTTTGGTGAAACACAAAAACACATTTTTTAAAATCAAATAATACGTCATTAATAGCGGTTCACTTCCGTGATTTGGTACGATTGCTTTCACATCAGCAGCGAACCGTACCAGAGTTCACATGAACTGTACACAGCGTAAGACAGCGTTCATCATCCAAACGAACCGAACTCTGACGTCAATCGAACCCGGGTGCGCACCAAAAAGTGCTAGTGTGAAAGCACCCTTAAAGGCAGACATCCCACCTCTCCCGGAAGCTCCGGGAGTCTCCCGCATATTAATAGTGGCTCCCTGACACCCGCAAATTAGATACAATATCCAGGAAATCGTGGAGGCAAATGAGAGAACGAGCAAGAGGAAAGAGCGCCACTTAAGCGAGAGAGAGTTATAATCATAACCGTAGCCAGCTATGAGATCACCATATGAGTGTCTGCATGTATAATTCAGTTTTACAGGCAATATGAAAAGAAAAAATACCATCTAAACTTTTCTAAGGACAGTAAGTTCCCCTCAGACATACATTCATATAAACTCCTACACCTAATTGAATCGCGATTTGTTTAGCATCTCAACCGATCGTCACATATTTAAATCGATTTTCAACCGGCTCGCGGTTAATCGTTACATCCCTAGTCAGCGATATCCTTATCTTATCTTATTTGCAAAATATTTGAAATAATTTTGGTTTATTTTTTATTTTTCGGTTTTTATTTGTTTTTAATAGCAATATCTGGCAACACTGTATCGCCCTTAAACTGACAGTTATCAAAAGAGCCCATGGACATGTTATTGCTGACAGGATAGCACATTCTGTAATGGAAACGCAAAAAATATAATTATATTATCTATTAGAAACGTTATCAACGTTATCAAAAACAGTAGCATTTAGTCTATGCTATTTTATTCAGTAGTCGTTACATGTTGACAAAGTCATGCTAAAAAAATCCATAAGAGCACTAGACAAAGTTATCATAGAGCAATGATTATTAATGAAAACTATAACAGTAATATGGATTGTTGCATGAATAATAAACAACTGATAAACTTATCCACCCCTAATCTATAGTAAATATTAACAATGCAATAAATAGACTATGGTATAATTTGACAGTGTTCATCCTTTCAAAACAGAAAACATCTTTCACAAACATCTTCATCTCTGTCTCACCTCACTAATTTTCAAACCCTGGCTACGGCCATGATAGTAAGTTTTGAATTGCAACAGAATGAGCATCCTCTGATGATTGGTCTCATATGTGCTAAGTAGACCGAACAGTTATCTCTTATTTCAAGCAAAATTAAGGTAATTTAAACTGAAACAGGAAGACAGGGCGGGACATATCGAGCAGCCCCGCCCCCTTTTTAAATTAGCCAATAGCGTTTTGTTTATATCTGCACGGGTCAGAGCCGTTGAGCTCGGTAAAGCCGCATTTGACAGCCACAGTCTAATAGATTACCCCCTAGATTCAATATGAAACTCTTAGTAAAACAAAATAGTGATCATAATCATGCTGAGGCTGTGTAGTTTTAAAAGTGTTTAATATATGCCGACTCGCGCATATGATCCGCTCCGTGCGATCGCGTCTCTGGACCGGAGCCAAAGTCCGGATCAGACTGTGTGCGCTGCCGCGGTTCGCGTGAAACAACGTGAAACCAGACCTCATTTGCACCAATCG